TCTAGCACTGATAATACCAAACTCATGTCATGCAGGACAGCTGCTTTCCCAGAGTGTGCAGCACCTCCCAGGACATGCTTTTTGCCCCATACCAGATGGCCATGATCCAGAACACGACCTGGGTAAAGAGGCCTGAGCCCCTATCACACACCCCTGTGTCTCCCTTTCATTGATGTACATCCCCAAGGCTTCTCCTCACGAAAGGCTTTGGAACAGAACCACACCATGAAGATCCATTCCCCGTGCATTTGGCCTCAAAGGATGCCAAAGCACCCCCTCAGTAATCCCAAAGACAGCCTGATCAGGAGTTGATTGGACTCATAAAGAGAAGAGGAACTGCAGCTACAGGAGGTCCAGGCAGGCACCGTCTCTCCCAGGCAGGTGTGCAAAGTGCCCAGGAGGGCAGCAGGGGGAGGATGCAGTGAGAGCCCCAAATCCTTGTGGTGTTCCCTCTGAGCCCCTGAGCACCACTGCAGGTTTGCAGTCACTCACAGCCAGATTACACTCTCAGGAGCCTGGTGGTAATGCCAATGCCTCCTGGAGCCTGAGCAACAACCTTGTTTGGGTCAGGATTCTCACCCCCCTCAAAGAAAAAGCTGTTCCCAACAAAAACATGACACTGAGGAGGTCTTGGAGCACCTCCTGCCCAGGTGGTCTGTCCAGATGTGAGTCAGTGTCCTGACAGAGGCAGCAGCCAGGCTGGATGAGTGCCTAGCTGGGATCAAGCCCAGCTCTGAAGAGAGCACCAGGGCAGCATGGAGTCAGCTCAGCCCCCAGGCAGACCCCACAGCTGGGCATGTGGGTCACAGGGTGACAGATGCAAAGGGGGATGCAGGCAGAGCATCAGTCAGGGCTGGATTAGCAAGGTCAGTGAAGGTCAGAGCAGAGGGGCCCAGCATCCCCAGGACATAGTAAGGTTAAGCACTTCCCTGCTGCACAGCCAGCCCTTCCAGTTATCACAGGGTTTTCAGATTTGGGGAAAAGCCCTAAACCCCACCTTACAAAATCCAGGGGCAAGGGATTCCCACCAGCTTCAGAGCCAGACTTCACACCAAGAGTGTTTAAAAAGCCAGCCTTTCAGCCATCAGAGAGTGTTCTGTGGTTTAAAAAGAAAAGTGCAATTCAAATGAAGGCTGCTGGGCAATCCCCTGCTTCAACACACACTCCTCCAAACCCATAGCTTTACATAGCAAAATAAGCCTGGAGGCAAGGCGAGGCAAGCCAGGCTTAATTTATTTTTTTTTCCTCAAGGAGAAAAGGACAGTGAAGGCACCTGATACCTCCTATAATTAGAGACAGTTCTTTATCCCTAATGCCACTACCAGACCACCTATATCCAATTTGGAAACCAGAAGTATAACCCAGCTTCATTAAATAATCCATCTGGTCCTCCCCTGTTAATTTCCCTACTATTTTTCCACTTTAATGAGCCCAGCTGGGTCAAACTGTGACCAGGTCCTCCTCAGCAGGGATCAGCCATCCCTCCATTCCACCCCCAAGGAATCTGGTGCACCGAGGAGTCCAAAAACTCTCCAAGTATCAGTTTTCCCAAACAACTTCCTTCCAACCATGGGTATACTTAGCAACAGCAGTCATTTCAGCAAAGACTGAGACTCCTCCAAGGATCTGGAGAATTCAAGACAGCTGGGGATGGACGTGGCAAAGAAAAGCCTGGGGCTTGCTGGCACAGCAGAGCCTCTCCCCAGGCAGTGACCATACATGGGCTGCCTGCCCTGCAGCTCACAGGGAGGGAAGCCCCAGGAGGACAGAGACAGGGCAATTTGGGAAAAGCCAAAGCCAATCTGCCTCCCAGGTGCAGATATCCTGCAGAGCACAGCCCAGGGGACGTGCCCAGCCACGGGTGTAGGAACTGAAGGCAGGAGTCACCTGAAGCCTCCAGAGCTCTACAGAGAGCTCTAAGTAGCAGACCCTGTGCATGCTGGGCTCCCAGCCTCTCCCCATCAAGGCAGGACAACCCAAGCAGCCACTTCTCCAGAGCTCCCCCCAGCTTCTCACTTGTTGGGGAAGGCTCACGCCAGAGCAGTTTCCCATATAGCAATTCCAGTTCATGGAAGAGAGCATAACAGTGGTCTGGTTTAAGCAGAGTTACACCAGCATCAGCAGGACTTTACCACTATGTCCCAATTTGTATGAGGAAACTGAGTAGGTAGGCTGTGTTCAAATTAATATTTCTGGGCCATTTTCTAATGCATGCTCCTATATACACTGGGCATAGTTAAATAGACAATGAACATTGTCTACAGAAACACAGCACCAATATTTTTCTCCTGACACCTCCCACTGTGCATTATACCCAGGAGCCTTGGGATTTACTTTCCTGGCAGCTCCATCACAAGATTGGTTGCTCTGACATCCATCATGCTTTAGGCTGTCCTTAGAGCTTTGTCCTGCCTCCATCTATCCATGGGTCAGCTTGAAAAGAGCTTTTTCATCAAGGAGAGGAGATCAGGGAGATAAGCTAGCCACAGGGTGAGAAAAGGTAGACCCAAACAGCAAATAAACACTTCCTTCCTCCATTTTGGGCGTGGAAATCACCAGAGTCTAGCAAGCGTTTAAACAGTACAAGGAAAAGCAAGAGAAGTTTAGAGGTGCAGATGAAACTATTATACAAATTGTAAGGGAAAGTAATTCTTCACATTTTTGAAACAAAGAGGAACTCATTTCTGCTCACTATTTTTGCCCTCAATTTTCATATTTCATTAAGATTCTAAAATACAGCTTGAGAGGAAAGGATGTGCCACCCTGCTGTCAGCGTTCACACTCTTTTTAAACAAGGCTGTAAGGGTCTGCGTGCCACAGAACAGACTCCTCCAAACAGCCTTTTCTTTAGCTGAAACTCCAGCAGGAAACAGAAAAGGGAACAAGCTGACCCAGCCCCACCAGCAGACCCCAGTGATGGCCCTGCATGCACCAAAGTAGCTGCACTCACTGCAGCAAGAGGGGAGCAGGAAGGTTTGCTTGCCTTGGGCCACACACAGCAGCTGCTCCTTGCTGCTGCAAGGTGAGCTGAGCCTGCAGCACAGGCACAGCCAGGAGCAGTGCTGGGAATCACATCGATCCTGGTGCTGAGGAAACCCCTGTGCTCCCCCAGCCGCCAAGGCTTCCCCTTTGTTTCAGCAGCCAGTCATGTACAGAGCTTTCCAGCACCTTTTGAAGCTTCCAGTCAAATCTTCAGCCCAGGCTAATTGCTGTCAGGTGTCAGCCGAAGCACTTACTGCAGCCACTGATGACAGGAGATGACACACCTTTCTCCTCTCATTGTCACTCAAGGGGGTTTTTTTCCCATCAACATTAGCTGTGCCAGCTCTCAGAAGCCTTGGGGAGAAATGCTAATGTGAGCTTTGAAGCTGGAGGTGAAAAATCAGGCAACCTCCTAAGCTCCCTGGATGCTCAGCCTGAATCCAGTCCAAATCTGAGCACTTCTGGGTGATGCACTTTGGCCAAGCTTATCTATCTGCAGATGTGGTCTTCTTTTAGCCCTCATGGAAAGCTGTCTGTATTCAAGTGAAGAGACCCCATATTTTACAGTCTCTGCTGATAAAGCAATAAAGCAGAGCAGAGGCACAGGGAGATATATAATTTTACAGCAGCCAGCCTGAAACATTGCCAGGTTAATTCTGCTGGAGACATAGGGGATGCAGCAAGAAATCAGATGTGCCCAGCAAGGAGAGAAGGCAGCTGATCACATTAGAGAGGTCTTAGATATGGGGCTGATTTCAGCAGCAGAGCAGCTCCAGGTCATCAGACCTCTCTCTTGAGCTTTCCTGCTTCTGGAGCTGGGGTTCCATCAACCCCTTCCCAAGGGCTTTGAAGTTCAAAGGGGATGAGACCTTTAGGAAATCTAAGTCTCATCCTAGCTGGAGAAGCTTGCCAAAAGCCTGATGGAACATCTGACCTATTCCAGCCTCGTGGGTCATCACTGTTCTGGCTGCACATCCTCTTTTCCCTCCGTGCCCCCCCAGCTCCCCAGCTTCCCAGCATCCTGGGACTGGAAGGCAGCTGTGGTGTCCCCAAGCCTCACCTCTCGTTCTCCTCAGGGGATTCATCTCCCACTTGGGTCACTCCTTCTGCACCCTCCTGGCACCCCTCCGAGTCTGACATCTTCTCCCCTGGTTGGCACAGCAGCCCCACAGACAGCTCCAGCACCAGGGTGCTGCCACTGTTTCGCTTTTCCTGTGCTCAGCAGAAGTGAGCTGTGCCGGAAACTTCATGGGCTGAGGGTTTGGGGGGATGGGAGAGGGCAGAAGGAAGGTGAATTTGGAGCTTTGTTTTGTTCTCTTTTAAAAACCACTGAGACTGATTTAAGATTTTACTTGTCGGCAGCTAAAAATTTTGGAAATCCTGAGCTAACCCAAAAGAAAAGTGGGCAGAATGGACATCCTCACCATGGCAGGGAAAGGAGTGACCCACTGTCCCCCCCAGCTCCCCATGCCACTCTGGTGACAGCCATCATCTCTAAACCACAGCACCCTACCCTGTACCAGTCCCAGGGTGCTGCTGCAGGTGCTGCCAAGGTTCTCCTGACTTTGCACCTCTCAAATCCCACCGGGGCCAAAGGGTCTGCTTCTGCCCTGCACATGCCACCCCTCTCCCCCCTTCTCAGCTCCTCCCCACAGCTTCCTGCTAATCATCATGGGCTGAAGTTCTGCAACACCTCCTGGGGTGTCTCTTTGTCTCTTCACCACTGGGGAAGGGCATGAGCATCTGCAGCTTTGGACAGGGACCAACAGCGAGAGGTCCCCCACGTCCTCAGCACAGCCCCTGCCAAAGCCTCCCCATCCCCACCAGGACTGCCACAGTGAGGCAGTCCCTGCTGGCACCATGGCATGAATCAGGGTCTGGCCACCCAGGCAGGCAACACCCACCTCTCCCACCAAAGCTTTATTTACATCACTGCTGCCATGATGCAGCTCTTCGCATAACTAGAGAGAAATGGCACCCAGTCAGTGCCCCTGAGCCAAGCAGGGCAGTGGGGACAGCAGGGAGAGGAGGACAGCTGTGGAGACACAGGTGCTTAGGACTCGCCAGCCTCAAACATCTTCTTTCTACCCTCCATGCCAGACTTCTCCTCAATGTTCTTCCTCCAGTCACCGACATCACGCAGATCCTTCTCCTGGGGGAGGGATGGTTGCATAGGTGTGAATGGTGCCATGGTAAGAACCCACCCAGCCCCACACCAGCCCACCCATGGAAACCCCCATGTCAGCTAGAGGAGCCCAGTTCCACCCATGCTACACATCTTTTTAAACTGCACCCTCCTGTTTCAACATCATGGGTGCCAAGAGAGGGAAACACTGAGCAGGAAGAAGAACCTTATGGAGAAAGAGTCGTTCTCAACCCTGTCTGTCTTACAGCGAGGTGTGAGCCCTGAAGGGTGGGGGCAACTCCTGTTAGGGAAAAAAGGGAAAGGGAAGGATACCTTCTCAGTGTCCTCCTTCTTCACTTGTTTCAGGTTGGCTCGGAGGTCCATGCAGACCTTGTGCTTGGAGCCCAGCAGGGCGCGCAGCATGGCGTCAGCCGACATGCGCACCCTGCGCAGCGGCGGCCGCTTGAACTTGCCACGCAGGTCAAAGAGTTTCTGGCTCAAGTCTTCCAGCTGGGGGGGATGAAATATGGGGGGGTAGAGAGAGAGAGAGAGAGAGAGAGGGGTATGGGTTTAATGAGATGGACCCGAGCAGTGCAGGGAGGCATGAGGAACAGGCTGCAGACTCCCCAGAAGGATGGCTCCAGAGGAAACTCACCTCCTTTGTAGTCTTCTGTAGCTTCACCTCTGTGTCATACCTCTCCTCATCCACTGACTCTATCTTGGCATGAAGCTTTTTGCACAGCTCCTGGGAAGAAAGCAAAGAGGGATGTTGACTGCTAGGACCCTCCACACATGATTCCTCTCTCCTGACCACTCTGGCTCTGAAAGCCCTCAGTCCAGAAGGCTAGATGGGATTGAGGTGAAGAGGGGCTTGTCAGCCAGCTCCTAATCTCCATGCTACTGGCTGCACACAAATGCTGCCTCAACAAATAATTTAAAATACATCTTTCCTGCCAGCCAGACCCCTTTTGTTTGCAGAGAGACGCCACCTGCATCTCAAGCCAGCTGCATGTTCATCTGGCTCCAGGGTAACACAGGGTGAGGAGAGGATCAAGGTGGGAAGGCCAGTCTAGATCCACCAGGCTGACTGATGGAGTCAAATATTTTCTGCTCCAGCACTGAAAGGGTTAAAGAAGCCTGTACCTGAAGTTCCTGCATGGATCCTGGGAGTGAGAGAGGAGGGCAATGTTCTGCCAGGTAGTTTTGCTTCTCCACTTCTTTAGCAGCTGCTTCCTTTTCTATTTCAGTGACAGCAAGCTGGAGCATAGCACTCTGGAAGGCAGCAGGAGAAGCGTCAGTGCAGGGTGGAAGCAAAGAAGGAGGGTAGGGGGTCATCAGGGGAGTGGGAGTCCTGATGGAGAGGGGAGTTCCCCTAAATCCCACTATTTTCAAGCAAGGGATAAGGTAGACACCCAGTAAGGAGTGGGGTGGGAGGCCCCTACACTGTACATCATGGCCTCTTCTAGCAGGGAGAGTGCTGAGAGCTGCTGGCTTGGGATGGGAGGTGGGAAGGCTGGGACACACATCCCAGAGCCAAGGCAGTGCCACCCACGTACCTTCAGGTGCTGCCGGCGGGCAGTGGCTGCCCTCCTCTTTTTCTGCAAGTGGAAGAAAAGACAAAAGAATGTTATCAGGTGCCCATTCCCCTTTCCATTGCCCTTCCCCATGCAATGGCACAGTCCACCTGCAGCCCTGCCAGGGAGATGGCTCCATCTCGACACACAGTTTGTCCCCAAACCAGCAGCACTCAAGGAAGAGGCTCCCTGCTGAATCCAGCTTTGCCAACCTCAGGTAGCTAAAACCCACAAAGTCCCAGAGAAAGAGATAACAAGGGTGATGAACTTGGAAATATATGTATAAAATATGGTGTCCAACTTGGCTTCTTGGGACTTTTAGCCTTTTCTCTAATTTCCTCTTCACTCAGATGTGTTTTACTTTGTGCTCAAGCTAATGACCCCATGTCCCTGGGCACTCAGGAGCTGTGGGATGTCTTTCTGAGCAGTCCAGGGCATGTGTCCTTCTGACACTCTGGGGACAAGGACAGCCAGGCAGGTGAAAACATGAAGGCTCAGTAATTTCTTGGAGCTGGAAAGACCAAGAGATGCTGAAGCAGAGGTTCATCACAGCTGGAGGGCAGACCTGACCACAGGCTGCCCTTCTGTCCTTGCCATGCTGGACCAGCAGCCACAGGACTCCAATTTATAAAAAAAACCCACAACTTCTGCATTTCAGCTGTTTCCTGAGCATTTCACCCAGAAGACAGACATGGCTGAGTTGGGCTGGCCCAGGGGAAACACATCTGATATGCTGAGGGGCGGGGAGTAGAAAGCAGCACTTGGGTGTGGTTCTGTGCTGCAGGGAGGAGGAAGGGGATAAGGATGTGCAGAGTGAAATGTAACAAAACCTGACATGTCTCACATATGTAAATGGTGCCAAGGCCCTCCTGACAGGGCTGGAGGGCTCTGCAGAAAAAAGGCACCCAGCTCAGAGATGCAGCACACTATTAACCATCAGATAATCAGATCCCTTGAGGACTGTCAGTCCAGGGTTTATTCTCCATCTGAAAACTGGTACCTTAGCAAAGAGTGTCCTCCCAGCCTCTTCTGGGAGGTCTGGGTTTGATGGGGAGTAAAAGAACATGTTGGATATCAGCACCATTTTGTGGCATTTCTGTGTCCCTGACATCCTCTTTTCTTTCAGTGAGAACAAGCTGGAGATTGTGTGGTGTTGCAGACATATGGGGAGATGCCAAGCAGAAATGAAGGATGGAGCAATTTGCTAAGAGGAAATGTGGAGTGACAAAGCCACAAACAATCCTCCCACACCTTCCCCTGCATTTCTCCAGACACCCCCAACCCCACCTGGCTTTGCCAGAAGCCAGGGAAAACTTGCTAAGAATGAAACTTCCACCCTGCTCAAACTCCCCAGGCTCCAGGTCTCCTTGAACTGCCTTTGAGAAGGGATTTGTCAGTGCTCAGTGGGTAGAAAATGAAGGGCTAGATGTGGGGAAGGAGGAGAGGATGCCAGGCCAAGGGCGGGATGGTGGATGGATGATGCAGGAGAGGCGGCTCTGGACCACTGCCTTTCCAGCACCATCTCGTGGCCGGCTGGGGAAGCAGGAATGGAGGGAAAAAAGCATCCAACTCCAAGCCAGGGGACAAAAAAAAAAGTCTTTCAAAAGGGATTTTTCTTCTCCTTCAGGTGTTTATCAGGAGGAGTCAGCAAGAAAATAACCATGAGCCATTCTTCCCACACACACGCTCAGCAGCTGATTTTCCTGGGGAGGAACGGTGAAGCCAGGACTGCTGCCATAAGCATTGCTAAAGGAAAAACCCCAGCAAAACACACTTACCTCTTCACTGTTCAGGAAAAGCAGATGGACAAGGAAAGGAAGGAAGAGAAAGGGGAAAGAGGAAAAAAAGACAGTTAGTTAGCATCCTAACTGGAAACAAGCAGAAGAATCTTAACAAGCATAAAAGTTGGTGATTGAACAAAAGTTTTGAAATGCCAATAGTGTATTAGAGACAGAAAAATGGGAACTTACTCAGACATCTTGGTTTAGGTGGTTCTGAGCCTGAAATGAAAACCAAGAGAAAAAGTTTACAATTATTCATGCTTGTGGTCACTTTTTTGTGAGTTTTAAACCCACTTGTTTTTTTTTTTTGTGGGTGTAAAAACAAAGCAAGACTCCTCTAGAAAATAAAAAGAGGAACAGTTTTGTTCTTATTTCCCAACTTCACCAATTTTTCATCATATAGGGAACTAGGCTGCAGTTTGTTGATGAGAGGCAAACATCTCCTCATAGCAACACAAACCACAGCATCAAGGGACTTCTGGAAAAGACTAAATGGGGTTGAGCCAGAAAAAGAGTGATTTGTGACAGTGATTCCTGCAGGTATGTTTCTTATCTGACCCCCCCACAAAACCATTTTATTCAATGGGGGAAGAAAAGGCAAAGACTATTTTCAGTTTGCTGCTTTACTTTGCCATTCAACCTTAATTCACTTCATAAACAAGAAATATCACAAAGCCTGCAAAGGGTTGGAAATGACCCCAGGTGACAAGGAAGGACTTCAGAGGATGCTGCTGCCAGTGTGTGCACTCATCCTCTGGGACAGGAGAGCCTGTTGCAGCAACCTCAGCACAGCTGGAAGTTGTGTTAGGTTGATACAAGCACAAAAAATTCCCTAGGCAATCCCTTGCATTTGCTTTACGTGGAAATTTTACACATACAACACAGCGTATTAGGGAAGAAATGGAAGAGCCCCTTTGCTTTGCTGTAAATGATTTCCACATAAATAGAATGTTAGTCTTCTATCAGAGCAATATTTACTTGCATCTCCTGCAAGGCTGTCCTTTGCAGAGCAGACAAGGCCCCCAAACACAGCCTGGGAGGCTCAGTCAGGAGGGGAAGTGTTAATGGGGGCTCATGCCCGAGGCAGGAGGCACAGCTTGCAGGGCCAAGGAAACTTTATCCTGGAAAATGTGCGGGCCCATCACATTACTTCAGAGAGGAGGGGGGGGAAAGTGCTTCTAAAAATGGCCAGGGAGCTGCAGAAGGAGCTGCAGCTGTCTCCTGGGACGGCCGCTGTTCCGCGGTGCCAGCCCCGTGACTCGGGAGGCGGCGGCGATGCGGAGCGGCCACCGCAGGTGGCGGGGCTGCAGCTGGGACGGCCCAGGAACGCGGGCTGTGCTCGCTGACACCCATCCCTGCCTGCCCCGCACACACAGGAACGCGGGCTGTGCTCGCTGACACCCATCCCTGCCTGTCCCGCACACACAGGAGCGCGGGCTGTGCTCGCTGACACCCATCCCTGCCTGTCCCGCACACACAGGAACGCGGGCTGTGCTCGCTGACACCCATCCCTGCCTGTCCCGCACACACAGGAACGCGGGCTGTGCTCGCTGACACCCATCCCTGCCTGTCCCGCACACACAGGAACGCGGGCTGTGCTCGCTGACACCCATCCCTGCCTGTCCCGCACACACAGGAACGCGGGCTGTGCTCGCTGACACCCATCCCTGCCTGTCCCGCACACACAGGAACGCGGTCTATGTTCACTGACACCCATCCCTGCCTGTCCCGCACACACAGGAACGCGGGCTGTGCTCGCTGACACCCATCCCTGCCTGTCCCGCACACACAGGAACGCGGGCTGTGCTCGCTGACACCCATCCCTGTCTGTCCCGCACACACAGGAACGCGGGCTGTGCTCGCTGACACCCATCCCTGCCCCGCACACACAGGAACGCGGGCTGTGCTCGCTGACACCCATCCCTGCCTGCCCCGCACACACAGGAGCGCGGGCTGTGCTCGCTGACACCCATCCCTGCCTGTCCCGCACACACAGGAACGCGGGCTGTGCTCGCTGACACCCATCCCTGCCTGTCCCGCACACACAGGAGCGCGGGCTGTGCTCGCTGACACCCATCCCTGCCCCGCACACACAGGAGCGCGGGCTGTGCTCGCTGACACCCATCCCTGCCCCGCACACACAGGAACACGGTCTATGTTCACTGACACCCATCCCTGCCCCGCACACACAGGAACACGGTCTATGTTCACTGACACCCATGCCTGTCCCGCACACGCTCCCGCTCCGGCCGCAGCGGCGCCGGGGAGCCAGGGGACAGCGCCAGGCTGCAGCTCGCTGCCCACGATGTGGGCTTTGAATCACCTGCTCTGCAGGGGGGACATCATAAATTTGGATGTGGGTGCCTGTCCGAGGGTGTTTTTGGGCAGGAAGGCACTGCAAGGGCCGGGTAGGGAGCTGGAGGAAGGGGTGTGAGTAGCGAGCATAGCCGAGTCACAGCAGGCAAGGATCCTGAATCCTATGGCCCCGCGGAGGTCAGCACTAGGCACCACTTGCCCTCGCCAATCAAGCTGAGAAAACCGGCCAAGGCAGGGGAAAGCATGAAATCGGAAAGAGAAAAGCTGGAAGAGAGAAAGCAAACCTTTCCAATGCACAGACCCTCTCCAATAAGCAAAGGATGGAGAAAGTGATATTCGCACTCCTGTTTCTCCCACAGGCCACCCCCACCTAGTATTTATCTCCTTAATACTCTGGTAAGTAAATCTGCTCCCCCATCACTCCCTAAGAGCAAGCTGGGTCGTAAGGAGATACACAAAAAGACTCACCCAAGTCTGGAGGAAATCAGAGTAGTGCTGGCTGGACGGATGGACAGACGAGCCACAGGCAGCTGGCTGAGTAAGGAGGTATAAAAGGGCTTCTCGGGTGGCTCAGCAGAAAATCCACCTTCTCTTTAAGGGCATGGAGACCTTCTCAGACCAATGATGTGCAAGAGTCCGTTGTGCACCTCCCTTGGCTGGGGCAGGCCAGGCCAGCAGGAGAACAGGAGAGGGCAGCCCCCAGGGAAGGAGGGGTGGGGAGGAGGAGGAAAACATCTTCTACCCGTGGGATCTGGAGGAGCCAGGGAGGTGTTTTTCCTCAGAGGTTCCAAGTAGGGAGCCTTCCTCTCCCTTCTCCTGCCACCAACCAGTCAAAATAGGTATGGCTTCAAATCTGTGGGGTGCCCAGGCTCCCTGCACACAGCCATCCATCTGCAAGGCCTCTAATTAAAATTTCCCCTTGGATACACAGAGTGGCTTATCCATGGACAAGGGCATGACTCAATTTGCCTTCAAGAGCTTGGGAGCAACTCTGCCCTTCAGGAAGGAAGACAGGAAAGAGCTTGCACCCCAAATATCCACTGCCAACAGCATAGGCAAGAGCAATCCCTTAATAAGCCATCCAGCATTAGCACGCTTTTTAAACCTCAATTATTTCCCTCACACAGTAAATACCTGTAGCTCTTCCCTGTGTGAAATATTTCAACACAATTCAGGTTTTTTTACAAAAAACGAGCTGTGGATCTGCTGCAGGCAGCCTCAAGCCTCAAATCCAGCCAGGGGCTGGGCAGAGGCAGCAAAGCATGGGGGAGCAGCCCCATGCTGACAGCAAGAAGGGTAATCCCCTCTGTGGGATGACCCAGACCCATATCTCCATGGATCTGAAGGAGAAGCAGGTGGAAATGTGGCTGGAAATATTCCTCAGCCCTTGTCACAGCATATGTAGAGCGTGTGTGTAGGGGATCCCATGGAGACAGGGACCCAAACAGCTCCTGCTCTCCTCCCCCAGGCCAGGCGCTCCCTCCTCTTCCAGCCGGGGCTTTTTAGGCTGATTCAGACATGGCCCTGACAATATTTTGCAGGCACCTCCCAGACATTATAGAGATAGTGGCAAATCCCTTGCTGCAGGCTTCCTGTTTCACCATGCTCAGCACCACACAAGTAGTGCTGCAGGTGCTGCTGAAGGGCGAGCAAGTCCTTGGTATGGGGCTGGTGTTTCTCAGGGGTTTGCCTGGAAAAACCCCCATCGTGGGCAAGGCTTGGACCCACATATCTGGGTCTGCTTGGACCCACATATCCCTCTTGGGAAATGTCCCTTTGAAATGCTGCAGCTACACATTCTGGCCTCTGTTGGCCCATCAGTCCTCCAGAGAGCTGCTCAGCTCTTGGTGGAGGAATCAAACTGGGGGAGTTCTTCATTCAAAATTCCCCACAGGCAGGCAGTTTCCTTCAGCTCTGTGAGAGGAAGGCATCCTGGGCCTCCTGGAGTCCAGGCATGCAGCACAGGAAA